CTCAAGATCCAAAAAAAAATGAACAGGGACTTCCCTGGTGGTGCAGTGGTTAAGAATCCGCCTGCCAATTCAGGGGACATGGGTTCGAGCCCTGGTCCCACATGCTGCAGAGCAACTAAGCCCGTGCACCACAACTATTGAGCCTGAGCTCTAGAGCCTGCGAGCCACAACTACTGAGCTCTCGTGCCACAACTACTGAAGCCCGCGTGCCTAGAGCCTGTGCTCCGCAACAAAAGAAGCCACTGCAATGAGAAGTACACGTGCAGCAACTAGAGAAAGCCCGTGCACAGCAGTGAAGACCCAAAGCAGCCAAAAATAAATTTAAAAATAAAGTTTAAAAAAAAATGAACAACCTGAGTAAAACATGGGCAGAGGATCTGAACAGACATTTTTCCAAAGAAGATATTCAGATGGCCAATAGGCACATGAAAAGATGCTCAACACCACTAATCATGAAGGAAATGCAAATCAAAACCACGATGAGATACCACCTCTCACCTGTCAGAATGGCTATTATCAAAAAGACAACAAATACAATAAGTGTTGGCGACAATGTCAAGAAAAGGGAACACTGCACTGTTGGTAAGTTAGGGCAGCCACTATGGAAAAGAGTATGGCACTTCCTCAAAAAATTAAAAATGGAACTACCATATGACCCAGCAATTCCATTCCTAATTATCTACAGAAAACAAAACACTAATTAGAAAAGATATACGTACCTTTATGTTCAATGCAACACTGTTTACAAAAGCCAAGATATGGAAGCAACCCAAGTGCCCATCAATAGATGAATGGATAAAAAACATGTATGAGATATACACACACACACACACCAGAATATTACTCAGCCATAACAAAACAATGAAATCTTGCCATTTGCAACAACCAATGGACCGACAGGGTATTATGCTAAGTAAAATAAGTCAGAAAGAGAAAGACAAACACTGTATGATTTTACCTACACATGGAATCTAAAAAACAAGTGAACAAACAAAACAGAAGCAGAGTTAGAGTTACAGAGAACAGAGGGTCGCCGGAGTGGAGGTAGGTAGGGAAAGGAATAGGTGAGGGAGATTAAAAGGTACAAACTTCCAGTTATAAAACATAGTAAATGAGTCAAGGGTATGAAACGTACACTGTGGAGATACAGTCAATAACTATGTAATATCTTCGTATGACATAACAAGACTTATCATGGTGACCATTTTTAAATGTACAAAAATACCAAATCACTATCTTGTGTACCAAGAATTAACATAGCATTGTAGGTCAATTACACTTCAAAAACAAACTCATAAAAAAGAGATATGATTTGTGGTTATCAGAGATGGGCGGGGGGGGGTGGACGGGAGAGGTGGAATTGGATGAAGGCAGTCAAGAAGAGAGATGTGTGAGTAATCTGAATGTTCACTGGACTGTATAAACTACATATATCTTCATCACAGAATTGCTTAGTTTACATCTGTCCTCAAGATTCTATCACCTCTCCCTTGACTGACCTCACAGCTATGACAATGTTTTAAAAAGAAAGTCCACTTCTTAACTGAGGAAACAATGTTTCTTCAGATAGAAGCTGCAACCTGATTCACTTTCTGCCTTATACTATTTTCACCTGACCTTTAAAAGGAAAAAAAATGCTTTAAAGGTTTCCAATCATGGATTTCTGTTAATTGTCTTGCAATTTCAAACATCACTATTTGACATTACAAAGGCTTACACAAATGATTTTAAATGAAAAAAGGAGTTGCAAAATAGGAATATTAAGAACTGCCTGGACGTTTAAATAGTATAAATTTTAAATTCTGAACAAATCAATATTGTTTTCTACATCAAAAATCCATAATGAACATGTCAATTATTTTCAGTTGTTAAGTAACTCATTTCTATACCATGTCCGAGGACTACCGGAAAGTTCTTTTCATTTACTCAGGTGATCCACTGAGGACCTGCAATGCACCAGGCTTTACGTTAGGAACTGAGGACTAGAGAAGAAATCATTGTTAAGGTGTTTCTAATATGTTCTACATACTTGTAACCTAGTTGGAGAAACAAAGTATTTATTAATGACTTCATCATTTCTAGGCAGCAAAGTGAGTGGTTCAAACAGTGCTATGGCTCGATCATTCTTTCAGTCCTCGTGTCCATCAGACAGTAAGTACACTGCTAACGAATCATAAGAGACAGAATGTGAAAACTCATGTAGACGTTTGGTGTCTAGTTCCTGTGACAGTAGACTGTTATGGGAGCTCAGTGAAGGAAAAGACATTGGAAAAAAGGCTTCGCAGAGACGAGGAGTATCTGTTAAGTATGCTGGTTTCATCTACGCTCTTTCAGTCCTTATAATACTGTGAAGTAGAAACGTTCCCATTTTACAGATGAAAACCCCATTCAGAGAGATTAAGTAACATGGTCAGGACACAAAGCAAATAGCAGGTGAATCTAAGTCTAAATAAATCTAAGTCTGTTCTGACTTAAAAAACCAGAGTTGTCTCGGCTCTACCATAGATGTGATCAGCATGTAAAGAGGGGAAGAGAGGAAGAAAACATTCTGGATAGAAAGATCAAAATAAGCCCAAGCTTGAAGCAAAAAGAGGGTGGCCAAGTCTGGTGAAAGGGAAAAAAAGGAAGAAAAAAAAGCACTGGGCAGTTACGGGAAATAAGGTTAGGGGATAGACTGTGAAGAGGCTAGAATACAGGTGGCTAAGAAATGTGGGCTTATTCCTGTAAGTCAATAAAATGGAACTGGAGATTGTAAGCGGGAGAGTAGAGGATGAAACTTAGGGCATTAGGAAGGTGAACACCACAGGACAGAGATGGACTAGAAAAAATGTATGGCATAACACAGAACAAATTTTTAAAATCCCAAGCACTTCGATATTTAAATAAACCCAATAACAATACTTTCATAATACAATAATCAAACTATCTCTTGTACGGATCTTCCTTAAAACATATCTCTAGGCACTTTTACAACAAATGGCCATTATGTCCTATAATTCTTATATGGATCAGAAACCACTTCCACCTCCAATGCATCTAAAAAAGAATACACCTTAGGTCGGAGGCCACATTTTAAAACCACGCCTCAGAGCAGCAAGGGCCAAACAAAAGAAATGAGCAGAGACTCCAACTCACAAACTCCTTGGCAAAGAAAAACAAAGTTGTAAAAAATTGTATCTTCATTTACAGGAGCATTTAGAACTATTTTTTTTTCAGGGAAAAAAGTTAAGCACTGAAAAATTAGAGAATGACTTTCATATAACCCCAGATTTACTTTCTCCCCCAAACAAATTTATAGTTTCCACTTCTCACAAAAATCAATACAAAAGCATCAGCGTCACCACTTCAGTGCCAAATTTCCTTTCTCTTTTATGGATATAGAGCTTTTTTTTTTTTTAAGGTCTGGACTAGTGTATTTATTGCCTCCTTGGCAGTTATCATCATAACTCTCAAGTTCTCCATCCCATTCAATCTTTGCCACAGGAAAATTCGATTGCATTTCGTAACCTAACGCTGAGCGGCAATCAAGCCAAGGCTCCATATTTCTTAAACACAACTGAGACCTGGTGTAGGATCACATTAAAACCCTTTAGTGACTATCAGGTAGACAACAATAACCTAATTAGCCAACACAGCACACGTGACACTGGCCCCACCAGTACCTCAGTCAAAGACACTTTCCTAGACTCATTCACCAACAAGGTGATCACCTTGTGATGGGGAACTGGGAGAGAATAAGGAAACCTAACAAGGAAAATATGGAGGGAAGTGTGCAGCTGGGGATTTTCAAGGGAATTACAGTGAAGATAAGTGGTAAGGGGGGTGGGCTGAGGAAAAAGTAATCTTCTTTTATGCAAAACATCTGATGTCGAGATGGCCTCACTTCCAATTCTGCAGCCCTAACTTTTAACTGAACCTTCCAGAAAGTTAAGTGAGCTTGAGGTTCTGGGGAGCATAGGAAGTGCCGAAACCACATCTTGATGTCCTCATATCCTTGTATAGGAAATGCGATACCTGTGCCTAAGTCCCAAGATGTTTTAACTTATTTAGGGATAGATAAGCTTCTCAATAGTCACATCTGCTTCTGCTGCCAAAGACTTTCTGAGATGTGGTCACTGGATTTTCAGTCTAGAGGTAAAGCATTAAACACAAAGTGAGTAGAACAAAGTTATTCACAGACAAGAAAAGCATAGGGGCTGATAGTAATGCTAAGGGAAATACATGTTTTTGCTTTTGTTTTAAACCCAGGACGAACCCCAAACCCTACAAATACCTAATTTACAACTCTAACAACCAGAGCCTATTTCTCAGAGCCTCAAGAGCTTGGCTTTACCGAAAAGTCAATTTACAGGGCCAAAATTCTCGACAGTAGCCCCTGGCTGTCCACGTGGACTTAACAATCTGCTTTATGCTTGGGCGGTATAATATTTAAAGACAAGTAAACCTTTTAGGGCCTTAAGAGTATTGACTGTACTTTAAATTTTTCATGCATCCTCAAGACCGGTCACGAAGGCTTCAATGCCCAGATAAAGGTTTACCCATTTGTGTGTGGCCTCTAACATGCTGCTATGGGTCCATGAAATAAGAAAAACTTCTCGTTTTCTCTCCTAAGCAATAAGGATAAATTTAGCCGCCACCTCTCCAAACAATAAAAAATAAAATAAAGTGGGGAGGAGCGTGCCCCGAAGGGCTGCATCCAAACGGCGAGCCGGGCTCGCCGGAAGACGGTGCGCAGCTTCGGTCCCCCGCCGTGGGCTCTGAGGCCGAGTTGAGCGGAGAAAAGCTGGCGGGACAGCCGCTCCCGGGCCTGTGGCGACTCGGGCGCGGCACCGCGAGCGGCCGCGCCCGGCGAGTAAGGCGGGGAGCGCGCGGGGTTCCCACACCCGGCCCGCAGCCCCGGAACTCAGGAAGCCTCCCCGCTGCCGGCGGCCCACACCTGCCGCCCCACCCGCCGCCCCGCAGACCCCTTCGGGCAACGGCTTCCGGCCCGCGGAACTCACAGCTTCAGCCGCTCGTAGGTTGTTGCCGCCATCCTGCACCACGGCCTCCTCCCTGCTCTTTCCGCCCGCCCCGCCACCTCGAATACAGCGAAACCGGTCACCCTGGCACGGCGGCCGCAACGCCCCGCCTCGTCCCACCTCCTCTCCCTGCCCGGCCGGGCTGCTCCCGAACGGGAGGCGGCCGTGGACAAACTTAGCGCGCGCGCTATAGAACGCTAAAGGCGCAGTCCGATGCGGTGGATGGGAATGCGCCGAAGAGCGCCGTGACGTCACCGCTGCGGATTGGCGGAGCGCATGGTGGGGGGAAAGGCGGAGCCTTGGGAGCTGTGGACCAGCGCCGTGACGCCCGGCGCAGGGGCGAAGCGCAGCGCTAGTGTCGGGGAGCCTGTTGTAGATGCGTAAGGCGTGATCTACGCTACAGTGCTGTTTTTGTTAGTGCGGGGCCAGTGGCGCAATGGATAACGCGTCTGACTACGGATCAGAAGATTCTAGGTTCGACTCCTGGCTGGCTCGAGGCGTACTTTTTAGCTACAACTGGGTTTGACGTTACAGGATGTCCTTAGGACTCTGGTGTGAAGGTTAAATATCTTGAATGTTAACGCTACTGTGCCCGAAATGTCATCTTTTAAGCTGTGTTTGGAAGCCGGAGTTGTGTGAGGTGGTTTGTAAACTGCAAAGCGTCCTAATTAATGATGCACACGAGGAGACTCTGTAAATGGGTTACATGTGGGAAAACACACCTAGAATGGTGGTAGTTTGCAGTAGGGGGGCGTGCTGTGGCCCGAGGTTAGCTAGCGGATGACACAAAAGCGCATTTAAGGCAGCAGTTCTGGCACTTTTTCCCGTGGAGCAGAACCCCTACGGTGACGTAAAAAGCGGCACAGTCCCAGTTTACCGGGATCTGGTGAGCTCTGGGTCTAACCTGCCCCGGAGACGCGAACGCTGCAGTGCGGCTGCGCGCGTTAGAGGGGGTCCGCAAAGTGATCGGAGTCTGCAGCCCTGTCCCTTGAGAGCTCCTGGTCCCCAGTGAATCGGGAAACCTTAGCACATGGGTGTTTTTGCAGTACGAAGACCCCAGGTAATCTAGTATTATATATTACCCCTCATTCTATTGGCGCCTGGGTGGAAGACCTGAGAAGGACCGAAAGGTCTGTGGCGGAAAGGAGAGTCAAACCTGAAGAGTGGCGGAAACATCCGACACTGTCCATAACTAATCATTCAATCGATCAATTAATCTCTCCAATATAACGTTTTTTCCTCCTGAACAAATTACAGGAAACTTGTAAAATACAGAAAAGTACTGGGAATCAAAAAAACGCAAATTCCCATCCCGAGATAATTATTATTAACGTCATAATCCCCGCCCCCGCCGTCATTACTATTAACGTCATAATTTTTTTTCCTTATGGACTTTACTTTTCTTCCACACTTTTTAATATAAACCTACACACGTATTTTTTCCAAATTTGGGGTTTTGTCACAAATGTCTTTGTGTTCTCATTTTGTCTCCTTAGCTTTGGGTCTGAGATTTATGGTCATTAAACATTCTTTGAAGATAACCCATAAAAAAACTAGATATTTTAAACATTACCCTCTTTGTTGGGAATCTGGGTCGTTGTCACTTTAACACTTTTTTTAAAAATAATGCTATGTTGAATTATTTCTGATATCTTATAAATTTTTAGATGTTGAATGATCAGAGAGACATTTTTAAGGTCCATTTCATGGACTTTTTAAGACTTTGGCATATATTTTCAAGTTGCCTGCCAAAAAATTTAAACAAATACACATTTCCATCAATAGCATCAGTTTCCTTGCATGCTAACACTGAGTATTATAAATTTCATTATTTTTTTTGCACTTTTCTTAACTGAGAAACGGAACTTCCTTTTACTTATATTACTTGATGTATATATTTTCTCTTGATATATGTACTCATTTTCTTCTTACAGATTTAAACTTTTAAGTATATTAAGGATATTAATTCTTCAGCTATCGAACGCATTGCAATTTTTAGCTTATCTTTTATATTTTCCTTTTCCTTATAATATTTTTGAACCTCAAGTAATTTTCACTTTTATATATTCCAGTTTACCAATATTTACCCTATGGTTTCTTCTGTTGCTCTTTTCAAATTGTGTTTGTATCGTTTTGTCCATGTACTTTAACCCATTTGTAATTTATTTTGTTAGTTGTCCCAATGGAAAGATCAAGTAAGTCTTAAAACCTGTGACTATTATTGAAAAATTAAGAGCTCTAAGCTCATTACTTGGACTAATTCAGTCAATTCCACAATAGTCCTGTAAGGTAATTTCAGTTGTTATCCCCATTTTTACAGATGAGGGAACTAAATTTGCTTACGTTCATTGAGCAGTTTGGTGGTGGAGCCTGAGTTAGAACTTGAATCCAGGCTTTTGACCCCAAAACCACCCTGCCCGAGGGCTTATTGTGCACCAGAGGGTTGACCACATGAGTCGACTCAGGGCTATTCCCTGTCTGGATATAGATGGCAATCACATACCTTGGCTCCTCACCCCTTCTCCCATGCTAGTTAGCAATCGGGAGACCTCATCTCTAGTCCTGGGCACACCCTGGCCCAGACAACATTTCCCCTGACTACATCTTCATCCCTTGTAGCATCGGGGTCATAGAAAAACAGCAGCCTACATTTGTAAAATCGGAATAGCCACTCTCTCATTGCTTGCCCCTTCCCTCTGCAAGTCCTGCCTTCCTGTATGTGGTTGCCTTAAATCTAGAGGGTCACTCACCTCTGGAATTCTTTGGTCATAACCTCATTAGAAAAAACAGTAACATACACAAAAGGGAAGGAGACAAAACGACCACCATTTTGAGCATGACCTGAAAAGTCTCAATAATAAGGTCCCAGGTGAAGAAACTGGATGCTTGAAAGACTGAAAGACGATTCTCTAAGCGTCTCTCACATTCCTACACAGCTTGTGAGGGAGGCACTGCCTTACTTCCAGACTACCTTTTCAAGGATGTTTGAGTAGTAAACAGACTTGGATGGAAGAGATAGTGTCTCTCTCTGGAGCAAAAGTCAGGCAGGTTTACTGCCCATTTATAAAAGATTGTGGTTCTCTAAGCTTGGGTTTCCTCTTGTAACACAGCCCACCTCATATGCAGGTATCACCTGGCCCTCTTCACGGGGCCCTGTAGGAACTGGAGCTCAGGCAACTAGTGCAAAGGCTTACAGTGTGAAATGCTACTGCTGCTGCTGTGAGTAATAAAGTGTCCTTTGTCTCTGACCCAGGAGTCTTATAACTTCTGCCAGGATCCACAAAACCATGGCATGCTAGCTTATTAGCTTGCCAGTAGGATACACAGTTTCAACGCCCGAATATTTCTTTAAGAATCCAGAGCTCTCAGACATAAAAAAGAATGAAATAATGCCATTTGCAGCTACGTGGATGGACCTAGAGATTATCATACTAAGTGAAGTAAGGCAGAAATGACAAATATCATATGATATCACTTTTAAGTGGAATCTAAAATATGACACAAATGAACTTATCTACGAAACAGAAACAGACTCACAGACATAGTGAACAGACTTGTGGTTGCCAAGGGGGCGGGGGAGAGTTGTACTGGGAGTTTGGGATTAGCAGACGCAAACTATTACATACAGAATGGATAAACAACAAGGTCCTACTGTATAGCACAGGGAACTATATTCAATGTCCTGTGATCAACCATAATGGAAAAGAAAGAAAGAAAAAAAAAGAATCGAGAGCTCTGAAAGACCAAATCCCGTTAGCAAAAAGCCCCATCTGCTTACTGCATACACACAAAAGCAGACCCAGTAAACATGATTATGTTGGAGATCACTTTAATAGTCTACAAATTAAGGCAGTTTTATTGTCATGATATTTGGAATAATTTTATAGTAACAGTAAATTTTTGAATAATTTTATAGTTAACAATATTTTGAATAATTTTATGGTAACAAAATTCTGAATAATTTTATAGTAACAGTAAAATTTTGAATAATTTTACAGGAACAATATTTTGAATCAATTAAAGTAAAAGAAGAGACACAGGGGAAAATAATTTCCCTGCAGAGTGAAATTTTCATACACTAGATAGAAATTTCCCATATCTGTCCAGTTCTGGCTCAGAACAATTGATAGCTAACACATCTTCCTCATCTTTTTCCTACTGCTTTTAAAAGTTACCTCCAATAGTAACTGGGAAATTAGGACTCATTCCTGGCACAAAGGAGAATACAAAGCACTTGGTTTCCTGGTCGACAGTTTTAACAAGTGCATCAAGCAACAATGGTTTGGGGTCAAGTCTTGCACACATTCTTTGCAAGGGCACTAGCAGCCATCATAGCTCTCATACTTTCACACATGTGGGAAACGGCACACAAAAACAGCCTGCAAAGGAGTGTGAATTCCAGATCATTTTCTCAAATTCTAACATTTCTGTTTTTCATCTTGGGTAACTCAAGTCCACGGAGACAAGGTGATGGCAGCACTTGAAAGCAATCAGAACTCCTTGGTAATCCCACCGGCCACCCAGGACTCAGTGGCACAACCTCAGTGGACTCAGCCGAAAGAGGCTTTCGCTCAAGCACTAACCACGGAGAAATGGAAAGCCCTGCCGCCACGTGCAGGCAATGACCCAACAGGACTCAATGCCCTTCCGTGTGAAAAATGAACAAATCACTCTCTACTCAACCACAGATGGGAGGATAATGTCAGAGAGAGAGGATCCTGCTATGACAGGCCAAACTGCATTCCTGGCTTTTCTCAGATCACTCAGGCCGTTTTTGAATGACCTTAGCTGGCGGGGTGGGGGGGGGGGGGGGATGACAAGAAAAAACTAGAGGGCAAAGTGAGGCAAGGGAGAAGGCTGGAGGCTGGCTTTGGCATCTGGAATCAGGCCATAATTCTTGTTTATCTAAAGTCCAAGAGTCATCTAGGGAACTCAAGGCTATCTGCTCTACCTTTTAAAACAAACTTATTCATCCTGGTCTACGAAGTGCTTGTGTGTTCTTTCTACATGCCTATAAATACAACCCCATTATAGCTCTATTTGGCTAATAATTTATAGAAAGTTTAAAATACCAGGTAAGTGGGCATCTATTCATGGTTTTTTTGCAAGGGCC